ATATACAAAAACTAGCAAAGATGCTGAAGAGATGGAACCAAAAGAAGATGTGGCCGGGGGGAGTGGGACTTGTCGTCACCGTCTAGACCATAGCTGCTTTGTTTCCATCTATTCCAACAGGATCATAGCCAAAGAGATGAGAAGTATCAGCTGGAAATTAGAGTTTGCTAATTTAATTACAAAAGACTTAGAAAATCACTGCAAAAGCTAGAGAGGTGGTAGATTAAAAGTTTTCTCCCTCTGCATCACCTCCACTGTCTTTGGCCAACTCCTTCAGTCCCAGATTCAAGGCTGCCTTGTGGAGAGCTGATGTCTTTCTACTGCTTGCTGCTGCTATCCAGAAAAGAGTGAAACGAGCTACATTAGCGGCTAGTTGCTAGGGGGATACATGAACATCATTGAAGATAATGTTGTTTCTGCTGGTCCAGATCCACCAACAGCAGCAAGAGAAGATGTCGCTCCAAAGAAATTTAAGCTTCCTGTTTGTCTAGTGGGTGTTCTTTGTCGCGCGTGTATGCGGAAGCGTGCACGTGCACACCGAACGAGTTTGTGATCACGGGAAGAAGATGAACCACACACAAGCAAAATCCAATCCAAATACGACAAATCCAACCAAACATAGAGATATACGTAGTTCGACAATTTGCCTACGTCCACGGGGAGAGGATGGAGAGATTCCACTAAATCAAGGAGAGTACAAAGGGTTACATGTTGGATATAGGTGCCCTGCAGGCAATAATTATATATTGTAATAGGACCTATATGAATATAACATCCTTGTTTAAAATAATAATATGCTATTTTGGTCAGATTTATCTGGTATTTTAATACAGATAAAGTCCTTAGAATGATACTAGACTATCAGACATTTCGGATATGATCGTAGTGAAGAGATCTGATTTGTCGCTAACGTATATTCTAAAATGTTCCTAGTCGATGAAGTGTTGAAATGGGACATCATCACTTTGGTAAGACTAGTGTATACTTTATTTCTTCTTTGGAAGGACGATGATCCATCTCTTAGATCATTGATGTGAGACATCAAGATATAGTATACAGGTGACTCATTAGTGAATGAGTTGACTGAACGACTCACTGAGAACATCTAGTTGGTAATTATACTTAACTGTCAAATAGAAGTTCTCAAGTGATATAGTACATAGTAGTCTCTTGACCAGAGGCATGAGTGCAATATCTTATATGTCAGTAAAGATGTATTTAGACTTTTACCTAACCACAGTTCTTATTGAATTGTGCATAACAGTTCTTGTTGGGTACATCCTGAGACATAAGTAGATATTGAGATGCCAAGAAGGGATTCGTCTCTCCCAGTATAGGGGTTGATGTCATAAGATTGTTTGATATAACTATAGCCTGGAAATCCTTGGCTGAGGTAAATAAGATAAACTGAGTGTCAATTTGATCTTATAGGTTATGAGTTTAATATCTACAAACACTAATTGAGCAATTAGGGTTTGACAGTTTTCCATACCCTAGGCTTAATAGTTTGACATGGTTTGACGAAGAGACCGGACTATACGGCATTATCACTGAGTGGTCCTGATAAAATTGTGTAAGCATCTTGCAGACATTTATCACAACTTATACCCGGGTAGTCTTCATGTGTAGCTAGCACCTCTGTTGTACTTGTGGATATGATCCACTGCCGAGTTCTTAAGTTGGGCCCTAGAGTCACACCAAGCGCGTACTTGAATCCTATGAAACACAATTTATAGAGTGATGCGTATGATTGATACGCATATATGATTTTACCGGATACACATAAACGGTTATGTATATCGATAAAATCGGAAGGCTATGTGCTTAGGAAATGAATTCTAGTATTTTTCCTATAAAGTTAACTTTTAGTCAACTAGTTGACTTTTTGGTCAACAGTTGACTTTTGGTCAACTCATTGACTTTTTGGTCATATGATGACTTATTAATCAATGATTGGAAAATTACAAAATATCGTATTTATGAAATACAATATTGATTTGGTATTCTCATTTATGAAATACACATACCATGTATAATGAGTCATGAGATGAGTCATTTAGTGGTATGGTTTGAGCACATGGTTTATTAGCACATGGTTTTGAAATGTAATGATTCATAAGATGATTCATTGCATGACTCACTTGATTAATCATTAATTTTTGATGATTCATTACATGACTCATAGGATGAGTCATTCATGTCATGAACACATTTCACTCTATAAATATGAGCTCTCTTTCTTATGGAAAGGTTAATGAAAAATTGGCTAAGTGTTTTTTCCATAAGAGAATAAAAGAGAGCTCTCCTCTTACTAATTTCTAGCAATCTTGAGTAAGAGAAAGTAGTAGGATTTTAAAGTACCCCGGGGTGGATATCTTGCCTTGTGTCTCAAGAAGACTCCGATTTTATCAAGCTCACTTGAAGACTTGGAGATCCACTACGAGGAGATTTACTACTACAAGGAGCAAGAGTTAGGGGTTGTTCGATCTTCCATCGAATCACGCTTCAAAAGTATGACTTTATAACCCTTGTATGCTCTCTTTAATATAGGGATTATGTTAGATTTAATTAGAATGGTCCTATAATGTATTTCATGCTCTCTACATGCATAGCATAATTATACATATAGTCTTCCGTTGCGTATTTTGCATGTATGAAGCATGGATTCCCTTCATGGTATCAGAGCCATGGTTCCATCTAATTAAATCTTAACATGCATATCTAACTCATAGAGGACTTTGTTCTTGCTTCTAATTACTAGTTTAATTAAAAGATGTTTTAATGAAACTAGTTAATTTATTCAAGTTGTTTTGTAATAAATTATACTAGTTGTTGATTCAAAAATGTGATTTTTGGTTCATATGTTTTTAGGAGTAAAAACACTTGTATAAATTGCAAAACATTTATTTACAACTAGTGTAGTTGTATGTTAGAAGCATGATAGTCTTATTTGAGTTAGGATAATCCCTATGTTATCTAGTTTTCCAATTTGTTGCATAACTAGATAGATGCATATTTCTTAATGTTGATTAAGTTATATGTTTTATATCATCTTGCATGGATGTTATGTTTATGGATGGTAGTGGACAACGATTCTCTTGCATTTATTGTATTGATGTAATATAGCTAAAAATGTAATATTATTTTTGACCTCTTTCCTCCCCGAGCACTATTAGGGTTTGACAGTTTGCCATACCCTAGGCTCAATAGTTTGACATGGTTTGACGAAGAGACCGGACTGTACGGCATTATCACTGAGTGGTCCTGATATAATTGTGTTAGCATCTTGCAGACATTTATCACAACTTATACCCGGGTAGTCTTCATGTGTAGCTAGCACCTCTGTTGTACTTATGGATATGATCCACTACCGAGTTTTTTAAGTTGGGCCCTAGAGTCACACCAAGCGCGTACTTGAATCCTATGAAACACAATTTATAGAGTGATGCGTATGATTGATACGCATATATGATTTTATCGGATACACATAAACAGTTATGTATATCGATAAAATCGGAATGCTATGTGCTTAGGAAATGAATTCTAGTATTTTTCCTATAAAGTTAACTTTTAGTCAACTACTTGACATTTTGGTCAACAGTTGACTTTTGGTCAACTCATTGACTTTTTGGTCATATGATGACTTATTAATCAATGATTGGAAAATTACAAAATATCGTATTTATGAAATACAATATTGATTTGGTATTCTCATTTATGAAATACACATACCATGTATAATGAGTCATGAGATGAGTCATTTAGTGGTATGGTTTGAGCACATGGTTTATTAGCACATGGTTTTGAAATGTAATGATTCATAAGATGATTCATTGCATGACTCACTAGATTAATCATTGATATTTGATGATTCATTGCATGACTCATAGGATGAGTCATTCATGTCATGAACACATTTCACTCTATAAATATGAGCTCTCTTTCTTATGGAAAGGTTAATGAAAAATTGGCTTAGTGGTTTTTTCCATAAGAGAATAAAAGAGAGCTCTCCTCTTACTAAACTTTAGCAATCTTTGAGCAAGAGGAAGTAGTAGGATTTTAAGAACCCCGGGGTGGATATCTTGCCTTGTGTCTTGAGAAGACTCCTATTTTATCAAGCTCACTTGAAGACTTGGAGATCCACTACAAGGAGATTTTCTACTACAAGGAGCAAGAGCTAGGGGTTATTCGATCTTCCATAGAATCACGCTTCGAAAGTATGACTTTCTAACTCTTGAATGCTCTCTTTAATGTAGGGATTATGTTAGATTTAATTAGGATGGTCCTATTATGTATTTCATGCTCTCTACATACTAAGCACAATTATACATATAGTCTTCCGTTGCGTATTTTGCATGTATTTAGCATGAATTTCCTTCATTACAATCACACAAAATCACTCAAACTAACCCTCAACCAAAGCTCTCAACTTGCTCACAATATCTCCCTCTCACAATGTT